TTACAGGCTTAGGAAAAATGCTGATAATTGGTGCCCTGGCCGAGTGGCTCAGTTGGTTGGAGTGTCACCCCATCTACCAAAAAGGTTGGATGTTCATTTCCTGGTCAGGGCACTTAACCCAGGTTGCAGGTTCAATCCCAATCTGGCAGGTATGGAAGGCAACCAATCACTGTTTCTCTTCCACATCAATGTTTGCTTCTCTCTCTCCATCTTTATAAAATCAGTGGTTACTAGGGTTAGTGGGGAGAGTGGGATGAATAAGTGAAGCACGGAGGATTTTTAGGGCAGAAACTATGTTCTGTATGATCCCATAATGATGGATACATGTCATTACACATTTGTCCAAACCTATAGAATGTACAACACCAAAAGTGACCCTAATGTAACCGATGGCCTCAGGGTGATTTGATGTGTCCTTGTGGGGTTCATCCATTGCATCAAATGTACTGTCTGGTAGGAGGTGTTAATAATGGGGAGGCTGTGTATTTGTGGATGGAGGAGGTATATAGGACCTGTATCTTCTTCTCAAATTTTTTTATATATTTTATTGATTTTTTACAGAGAGGAAGGAAGAGAGATAGAGAGTCAGAAACATCGATGAGAGAGAAACAGCTGCCTCCTGCACATCCCCCACTGGGGATGTGCCTACAACCCAGGTACATGCCCTTGACCGGAATCGAACCTGGGACCTTTCAGTCCGCAGGCTGAGGCTCTATCCACTGAGCCAAACCGGTTTCGGCCTTCTTCTCAATTTTATTGTAAATCTAGAACTACTCTAAAAAGGTAGTCATAAAAAAAAAAAAGGCTTAGCCTAGACCCGTGATCGGCAAACACGGTTTGCTGAGCTGCAGTTTGCTGATCACTGGCTTAGACAATGGGTATTGGAGATTAATAGCTTAAAAATGAATTTTGTTTTTAAATCCTTTGATCTTCATTAACTCATTTTCAGAAAATGGCATACTTGGATGATCTTACTCATTCCCCCTCCCCAACATAAAACTCTTTAGACTTAATAGCACACGTGTAGATTTTGTTTATAAAGACCCATGGCTCACCTTTGTGCTTCTGGGCAGTTTGCCCTGGAGTGAGCTGTTGCAGACCTAGTTGTCCAGACCTGGGTGGACCAGATGCTCGCTCGGGGTGGGCCCTCAGGAACTGTGGCTCTCTGTCCCACTCTCCCCGTCCTCTGGTCCACATCCTTGAATAACTTCCCAGGAAGGGGAGGAGAAAATTAGAAGCAAACTCTGTGTGCAAGCAGATTTGAGAATGATTATGTTCTACCCCTACTTGGTTGGTAATGTAGCAGGTTTCAGAATTTAGGTTCAACATAATTTCCCCCCAGAACGTTGAAGGTGTTGCTCCATTATTTTCTAGGGTCTCATGTTGTTTGTGAAAAATCAGATGCCAATCTGGCTCTTGTCACTTCCTGTTTGGAAGAGATGTGGGCCATTTTCATTTATTGTGCTGACCTTTTTTCTCTTTTTTTGCTATTTTCACTGTGATTTACTTAATACTGATACAAAAACATTACCTGTTAATTAAAAAATATATTTATACACTTTTCCTAAGCAATTTCTAGGATGATAGCCTTTGAAATACTGGCCCATCCTGCAAACACTCACACACACACACACATACACACACACAGGGGTGCTGGCGCGAGCATGTTTTAATAGTGCAAAAAATATATATGTTTTTAAAAGGAACAAATATTCACCATTTGCATACTGGTTACATAAATGATGCCCTTAAAGCCCTTGAGAAGGGTGAGGGATCCAGAAGCAGCAACGCTCAGAGGTTAAGGTGCCCGAATCACGTGGGGGGCTGTGACAGGCAGATCCTGACTCTGCGTCTCCGGGAGCGGCTGCAGGACCAGACTACGAAGTGGGAAGAGCCTTCAGCCCCACGACCCAGAGCAAGAGGGAAACTGCACACAGTGGACCCCATTTTGGTAAAAAGTAACAGTGAGGTGGTTAATGTCTGCATTATGTATTCCCAGGCCTTTTGTATTTGTGGAAGGAAGAGCTTATGGCGGGCTTCTTTCTACATCACATAGATAACTATAGTATTTCCATTTTTATGATAAGCAGAATTATTTTTGTCTAAGAAAATTTTTTTAATAATCAATAAATTAATTCATTGAAACAAAAATAAAATTGTAAATCCAAGTGTTGTGGGCTGAATGCTTGTGTCCCCTAAATCATATGTTGAATCCTAATCCTCAAGGCGATGGTGTCAGGAGGTGGGGACTTGGGAAGTGACTAGGTCATGGGGGTGGAGCCATCGTGAATGGGGTTAGTGCCCACGTAGCAAGGGACCCCAGGAAGCTCTCTCTCCCCTTCCACCATGTGAGGATGCAGCAAGAAGATGTTGTCTATGAACTAGGAGGTGGGTCCCCTACAGACAGGGAATTGAGGCTGGGGCCTTGATCTCAGATTTCAGCCTCTAGACAGTGAGACATGAATGTCCACCGTTTAAGCCACACAGTTTGTGATGTCTGTTACAGCAGCCAGAATGAACTAAGGCACTGAGTTAAAGGTTACACTTTACATTGTATATTATATTACTCTTATTAGAATATTCATGCTATTATTTTTAAAGAGTCGTCAGGCAAAGCCCCAACCAACAGTTTTTTTCCAGGCTGGAGGACAAGTGCCTAATATAATAGCCTTCGTTCTGTCTGTCAGTTCTGACACTGGGTCAGTCCTGCACAGAGCAGGGTGATCTTTTCCAAATGAAGATCCATTTAGGCCACTGCCCCCCCCCCACCCCACGCTTGTCAACTTAAAACACTTTGAGGTTCCCAGTGCTCCCAGAATAAACACAAAACCTAGCAAGAGTCACCAGACCTTTCGTGTCTGAACCTGCCTACCTCTCCAGCCCATTTCTTACATGCAGAGACACACGTAGGAACACACACACACACACACACACACACACACACATACACACACACACACACACAAACACACGCTTATGCGGGCACACCAGCAGTCTGGCCTTACCACTTGCCTCGCCGCACACACATCAGCATGTGTCATTAATTGACTGTTTTATGTTTGCAACCAGCCCTTCACCGGGACCAGAGAAACAGAGCTTCCTGTCCACCAACTGCCCTGAATGCCTGGGGAGGGGACTTGAGGAGGGCGCTGACATTCATTTACTGGGCAGTTGCAATGTGCCAGACCCCTTCTAAGCCCTCTGTGGGAATAAATGGATTTAATTCATTTTGTTCTGTTAAATGAGGTGGTAGAAAGGGCGATTGACTCCCTCTTCCAAATTAGCACCAAAGAAATCATTGAATGAGCGAGAGACCTGGGCTCCAGGGTGTAATAACAGAAGGAAGACCCTGCAGAGACTTGGGTGGGGTGTGGCAAGGGTGCTGAGTGTGTGCAAGAGGTGGGCACAGATGAAAGACAAGCTTTGTATGCCTGCTCTTTCCTCTCCTTGCACAGCCCTGCACACTGGTCCCCAGGCCGTCTGGGCAGAAATCAGCCATGGCCCCATAGTCAGGGCATGGGATGGGAGGTACCTAGAGGTGCAGGGGCAGGCCAGTGCACCTGGCACCCCCTCCTCACGCGCCTCATACCCCCAGACTGGGAGCTTCAGCTGGGAGTCCCTTCTCCCTACCCCCTTGTGCTTCTCTCTAGGAGCTTAGGAGATTGTGGTCCAGGCAGGTGGGCAGTGATCAGAGCTCTCCACACTGAAGCTCGTTCAGCCTACAGGGCTCCCACCTCAGCCTGTGAAATACTTATTCCCAGAAAGGTGTGGGCAGGGTGCGTTCCTTCTGGGGCTGCAAGAGAAAATCAATCGAGGTCTCTCCCAGCTCTGGTGGCTATCCTTGGCTCCTTGGCTATCCTCCAGCTATCCTTGGCTCCTTGGCTTGGAGACCCATCCCCCCACCCATGACTGAGTCTGCTCTGTGCGTGACAGGGGCTGCACCTAGGAATTGGGCCTGCCCTCTGCCAGCGGGGAGCAGGCCTAAGCCAGCAGGGCGTTATCTCCCAAGGTTTCCCAGACTTCGAGAGGGCACAGGCCTGGCTGAGGGACCCTCCCTTCCCCCCCCCTGCCCCCCAAGTGCATATATACCAGGCCTCTAGTATATATATATATTGACAAGGACCTTAGTATCAACATCTACTTGGGGTCAACTCTCGAAGAGAACTTTTTTAAAAATTAAAGATAACATGTTAATTAAAGCAGTGCATATTTTTTTTCAGTAAAACAGATAAACAAGGGAAGAGAATAAATACCATAAGTCCACCACTCAGAGAGAATAATTTGGTATACATCCTTTACCTCTACATATGTGTCTATGCCTATTTATTTTTATAAAAAGGAATCATACTGTACGTATATTATGAACTTCTCTCAGTATGTAACATAGTTAAATAATGAAATAACTTTTAAAAGCTTTTTATAAAGTTGATTTGTAGTCTCTGATAAAATGTGCTGAGTATCTTGTTCCAGTCCACACAGTCCTAGGTAATATAAATACTATACACAGGTAATGTGTTATGTAGATGTAATATATGTATATGTACAAAGATGTAATATACATGTATATGTGTATATAGATGTAATATAAACGATAAGACTATGCAATTATAGGCGGACTTTTATTTAAAGGACACGACGCCGCTTCTTTGCACAACTCTAGAGGGCACCATTCATTTAGACTCTGATGGTCAATGAATATTTAACGAAAAAAGTTCAAGATGGGCTTGTCGGGTCTTCTGGTTAGGTAAATTTCATAGGTAAGCGTTTTGAAATGGAGAAAAGTTCAGTTAGGAGCGGTTAGTAAATAAAAACATTTTATTTATTCTAGTGAAAAACCGTGGGAAAAAAAAGCAAGCTTTGAAAAGTACAGGAAAAAAAACGCGCCTACTAAATTTGCCACCTACGAGACGCCGTGGACATTTCCAGGCTAGGAGAGTTGCGGTGCCTCCTGGGAGTTGTAGTGCTGCTGCCGTCTTCCTTGCAGCAGTCAGGGCCCCGCGAGACTTCATTTCCCAGTAGGCTGCGCAGCCCGGCTGCTGGCGGGACCGGCGCTGCCGCGCTGGCTGCGGAGAGTGACTTTGTGAGCGTCTGTCCCGGTCGTGGGGATGGCTTCGTTCGTGACGGAAGTTCTGGCACACTCGGGGAGTCTGGAGAAGGAGGATCTGGGCACACGGATCAGCCACCTGACCCGGCGGGTGGAGGAGATCAAGGTGCCGGCGGGGAAGCCGTTGGCTGACTAAAAAGGGACGCGAGATTTTTGTGTGACGGGACGGAGAGGAGCGGGGCTGAGGGCGGACAGCGTGGGTGCGGCCGAGTCTGGTGAGGGGCCGGGTGGGAAGAATGAGGGGCAGGAAGGCTGGACGTCCGTGGGTTGGGAGGAGTTTGGAGGGGAGCCCAGGTGAGGGTGGGGGCCGAGGCGGCCTGGGTCGGAGGAGAGGCAGCGGCGATGCGGGGGAAGGTGGGTGAGGAGTTAGGTTGGGGAGCCGGAGAGGGACGGCGGCCGCCGGGGTCCGCGGAGGAGCGTGTGGGAGGGAGAGACGCGGGTCAGGACTCCTCTCCGCACCGGAGCGCCCGGTTCCTGCACCCCGTCTTCGTACGGGCTGTGGGTGAGGAGAATAGCTTTGTAGGACCGCGCCCTCCTCCTCGCCGAAACTTTCCTTGGTGACAGCTCCCCGCCTGTTTACGTCCTCCCCGTCCCCGCTAACACCTGTCACCTGTTTACCTCCTCCCCGTCCCCGGGCCCGAGGCCATGCCGAGGGTTAAAAGCGCGCGGACGGCTCTCTGGGGCCCTGCTGTCTGGAGACGGAGTCGGACCGGAAGGCGCGCAAGGGCCCCTGGTGCCGCCGCGGGGGCCGGGGGTGCGGGCCCCCCTCGGTCGCTGGCACTTACACCCCTGAGCGCCGCGCACATCGGGGTTGAGGGCGGCAGGTATGGCGTGGACCAGGAAGGCGCAGACATGCCCTAGAAAGGGTTTCCTAGAGTTAGGACCCGTGTCTCCGGCATCTCTTCCTTGCGAAGGTGGTGGACCTTTTCCGCACGTTCATCTGCTGGAAGGAGGACGGGCTCCTGTCCGTGTGCTCGGCCCGGCTCCCCCTGCCTCTCCCTCTCGGGGTGTCTTTCCCCACCTGGACCTTCGGCCGGTGGGGAAGTGCTGTCTATTCTCCAAACAGGCCCGCCTTGCCCCCTCCGAGCTCGTCGATTTTGCGTATGTTGCCATTGCTCTGCCTTTTACGTGTCGTTTGACCCATTTTTCCATCTCAGATGTGTTTTTCTGCGTGAGAAGGATCCCCTGGGGGACTAGAAGCAGATGCTGAAGACATCCAACTGGTACTCCGAGTATCAGTGTGGTTTCTTTCATCTGGACCCAGTGCACCTGGGGGGTCGAACTCCCTCGCTATATTGCATCTCTCTGTCCCAGCTGCTTTAGTGTGTCCTGTCTGTCCTACCAAACGGAACTTACATGTGGACAAGCATGATTTATTCTGTGTCTCCCAAAGCCTTGACTCAGTGCAAAAAGCATTCAGGATGTTGTTTTTCATTTGGATGAAAAGAGATGATGGGACGCGTCCACTTAGGGTTAAACGAGGCCTTCAATTTTTATAAGTGAGAAGCTAGAAATTCATAGATTGGTTGCGATATAGATTATGGATTTAGTTTTTCCATTTACTCTCTTTCCAGCTAGATGTATGCTTAAAATCGGTGGCTATCATCTGAGCTGATAATAGCTCACCGTGAGCACTTCCGGCCCTGCCTTCCTCCACAGGCGGCTCTTTGGCCCCTTGAGTGTGGCTCTTCCTAAGCCTTAGGAGTACCCTAATTAAGTTAATAACAGTGTACCTACCTATATGGTTTAAGTTTAAAAAATCTGGCTCTCAAAATAAATTTCAATCGTTGTACTGTTGATATTTGGCTCTGTTGACTGATGAGTTTGCTGACCACTGCTCTAATCTATTGTTGAATGTCTGTATATTATTCTTTTTTAAAATACATATTTTTATTGATTTCAGAAAGGAAGGGAGAGGGAGAGAGAGAGAGAAACATCAATGATGAGAATCATTGACTGGCTGCCTCCTGCATGCCCTCTACTGGGGATCAAACCCGCAGCCCACGCATGTGCCCTGGACCGGAATCAAACCTGGAACCTTTCAGTCTGCAGGCCGACGCTCTATCCACTGAGCCAAACCAGCTAGGGCTGTATACTATTCTTAATTTCTGACTGGTCCTTTTCCATTTTTTTGGCATTCTCACTAAGACCCTTGAAGGTCTCACTAAGTTCCTCGGAGGTTTTTAGAAGATTCTTGAGTAACCTTATAACTGTGGTTTTGAACTCTATCCAGTAATTTGCTTTCTTCAATTTCTTTCATTTGTGATATGTTTCTTTGTCTCTGCATTTTGGCGCTTCCCTGTTTGTTTCTATATATTGGGTAGAGCTGCTATGTCTCCTGGAATTGGTAGAGTGGCCTTGTGTAGTAGGTGTCCTATAGGGCCCAGGGCTCAGCCTCTCCAGTCATCTGAGGTGGACACTCTTGGTGCACCCCTCTGTGGGCTGTGTGCACACTCTTGTTGTAGTTGAGCCTTGATTGCTGTTGGCATCACTGGGAGAAATTGACCTCCAGGCCAGTTGACTGTGAGGACCAGCTGTGTCTACAGTGGAAGAGCCGCTGTGCAGGAGACACCCTTATGGGGCAAGACTTGCTTCAGGGGGCTTTGGTGCTCACTGAGTCTGCCCCTTGAGTGTGTCTCTTATGGATCTGAGGAGTTGTAATCTGGATGGTCTCACACTGACCACTGGGTACATTTGCTTTTGGATCTCCAAGGAGGTGCAAAGTCAGCCACTGCCTGGGCCACCCAGCAGGAGCTACAGAGAGATCTGCAGATTCCTCCTCTTTGTATGGGGTTTGGAAGTGCCCAGACGAGTCCCATGCCGGTGCTGGTGTGGCCTTGGGCCTTCTTTTGATATCTTTGGGGCTCCCTAACCCAGTTGCAGCTTTTTTGACAGGTTTTAGGCTGAGAAAGGACAGGCCATTCATATGCAAAAGCCACTGTGCACAGCTTGAGTGGAGTTGTAAATTGGGTGGGGCGGAGTCTCAGAGAAAGTCCAGGGTGGAGCAACAGCAATGGCTGCCAGTCACCCCTGCACCGGGGAGGTCCCAGCACAGGAACAGTGGCCGTTCAGAGCACCTCCATCTGGGAGAAACCCACCCCCATTCCTGCCCCAATTCCAGACAGTCCAGTTTCTCCCCGTATGCAAGTGGGAGCTTGTATCTCCCTTCTGATTAAAAAAGTGGCACGCCTGGGTGCCAGCCCATTCCGCGCCTCCGCACCTCCTATCAGTCTCAATGCGCTTTCTTCTTAACCATGGGGGGGGAGAAACACAGATGTGAAAAAGACACATTGATTGGTTGCCTGCTGCATTCACCTCGATCAATAGTTGTAGTACTTCCACTCAGCTAGCTTTCCCACGGTTCTGGATGATAGTTAAGTATTTCAGTTGTAATTTTGATGTGTTTGTGGGAGGCAGCAAGTACAGGTGTTTACCTATGTCGCCATCTTGGTTCTCCACATTTTTATTTTTAACAGAGTTCCCTACTCACCATATTGGAATGTTTCTCTTTTAGGGTGAAGTATGCAGTATGATTAGCAAGAAGTACAGTGAATTCCTGCCCAGCATGCAGAGTGCACAGGACCTGATTACCCAGGTGGATAAGCTGTCTGATGATATTGACCTGCTGAAATCCAGAATAGAGAGTGAGGTAAGAATAGTTTGTTATATTGAGTAGGTTTGTAGGGAGGCAGTTCAGCTTCCTGATTCCTGAGACAATTCAGTTCTGTACAACTTTTAGAAGCCTCACTTTCCTTGTTGGTAGATGGAAGTTAAATTAGATTATTTTATTTATGTATTTATTTATTTTTTTAATCTTTACCCAAGGATATTGTTTCCATTGAGAGAGAGAGAGAAGGAAGAGGGGAGACACTGGGGGGGGAGAAACACAGATGTGAAAAAGACACATTGATTGGTTGCCTGCTGCATTCACCTCGATCAAGGATTGAACCTGCAAGCCAGGTACGTGCCCTTGACCAGGAATCAAACCTGTGCCGCTTCTGTGAGTGGCCCTATGCTCTAATCATTGAGGGACACGTCCAGGGCCAAATACTTAAATCTCTGATGGCCATCAATCTCTTATACCTGCAGCTGGCCTTAACACATTCAAGCTTCCGCACAGTCTTTGTCTCTTGGCCTTCTTCTGGCAGGTTGGCCTGGTTTGCCAGTCGCCACTCTGCTTTGTGTGGAAAGCCACTTTCCCTGGACACACAGAATACTTGCCCATCTAGTACTGTGTCACTTTGGGACTAGTGCTTGCTAAAGTTCTTATCGGAAGTCTGGCAGGTTTTAGAATGTTTAGTATGTTAGCCAGAGTGATGTCATCGTGATGAGAAGCAAGCCATTCTGGAAAGAGAAATATCTGCTTTATAATTTTAAAATACATTTTCCCCTTACATTATCTCACCAATATTTTTCCTATTCAGTTTCCTTGTAGGAAAAAGGCAGTTGAAAGAAATCAAACTGATATTCAAAATACCAGTTTGATGTCTTCAGCATCTATTTCTAAATTATCATTCAGTGCTCATTGGTATCCAAAATCAGGATGTTGAGATATTCTAAAGGTCCTTAAGAAAGACACCAAATCTCTTCTCTTTGTGAAAGTCATTAAAGAATAAAAGTGAACAGATGTGTTTTCAAAATTCTCTATAAAACTTGCATCACAAGTGGGGAAACTACTAGTTACCTGGAAAAATCTGTTTAATAGCTAGTATACCACTCATTCTCATTGAAGTTTTAATAAAAATAAATCTGTTACTCTACAACTTTGGCACAGTTCAACTAATATTTTCCATGTGTATTTGTTTGATCAATGAAGTTGATAGTGCAATATTGGACTGTACTTTCAGAAATGAAGTGTCTGAAACAGGAGATTAAAGGGCTCTGTACCTTTTGCTGGCCAGATTATGGCTGGTGAAATTTATTCAGTTCTGGTTGTTTTATTTTGAAAGATGGCTGATCTAAATGAGAAGGTCCAGGCCTGAGCACCATACCATCTTAAGAACAGTGAAAGAAGCTGAGGTGTTTTAGCTTTAGTAAGAAACTTTCAAGATTTGTAGCCCTATCGTACAGGAGAAAGATTCAAGTGTATGGCTAGAGAAGAGGAATTACTTTGAATAGGTAGATATTATAAAGGGGTTTATCCAGTCATTTGGTATATTTGTTTAACATCTATAACGTGCCAGGACACTGATAGTTGCAGTACTAGAGAGATTTTATTTTAAAATGTGAATCTTAGCCTGCTATAGATGAGTAAAATAGCATGATACATACTAAATTGTAATAATGCAGTTAGAGAGAGGAGATGTAGCTAAGAATGGCTTTCTCCAGGATATAGTGTCCAAACCAAAATCTGAAGTGATAAATAATTAGGCAGAAGAGTTAGGAAGAGTGTTTTAGTTTGACAGAGGGGGCAGCATTGCAGAAGCATGGGAGTAATGGAGAGATGTCACTTTGGACAGTTGCAAATATTCCATATGACTGTTTAGAGGGTGTGGTGGGAGGGACATGAGATGAGATTAGAAAGGTATGCAACGACCGTGTATATCAGTGTAGGTCAGGGGTGGGGAACCTTTTTTCTGCCAAAAGCCATTTGGATATTTATAACATCATTCACAGGCCATACGAAATTACCAACTTAAAAATTATCCTGCTATATTTGGCCAAACATTTAATTAACTTACTCCTAATGCCTTGGCAGGACTAAACCAAATAATTTTGCGGGTCTTATACAGCCTGCAGACCAGACGTTCCTCACCCCTGGTGTAGGTAGTGTGGATGTTGTCTCAATGGGACTGTGGAAGCAATGGAGGATTTTAAGCAAGAGTGACATCAGATTTGAATTTTAGGAATCCCATTTTGCTTGCAGTTTGAAGAAAGGACACCAGGAATTTGAGAGAGGGAAATCAGAAGGCAGTTAAAGTAATCAGGCAAGAAAACAGTATGATGTTTCCTCAAAAAATTAAAAATGCATCCCCCATTTGACTCAGTAATCCCACTTCTAGGAATATATCCCAAGAAATCAGAAACACCAATCAGAAAGAGTATATGCGTCCCTATGTTCATAGCAGCACAATTTACAGTAACTAAGATTTGGAAACAGCCTAAGTGCCCATCAGCAGATGAATGGACTAAAAATCTATGGTACATCTATACAATGGAATACTATGCAGCTGTAAAAAAGAAAGAACTCTTACCATTGGCAACAGCATGGATGGACCTGGAGAGCATTATGCTAAGAAAATAAGCCAGTCAGAGAAAGATGAATATCACACGATTGCACTCATTTGTGGAATATAATGATCGACATAATCTAATGAACAAAAATAGATCTAATTCTAGAGACATAGAAACATTGAACAGACTGTCAAATTGTAGGGGGAAGGCAGGGGAGGGTGGGAGGCGGTGGTAAGGGATCAAAGGACTTGTATGCATGCATATAAGCATATCCAATGGACACAGTAGAGGGGTGGCAAGGGCAAGTGCTGGGGAGTGGGAGCTGGCAGGGAGAGATCAATGAGGGAAAAGGAGACATATATAATACTTTCAACAATAAAGAATTTAAATTAAAAAAAACAAAGCTGGGAAATGTGAGAAAAATAAATAAAGTAATCAGGCAAGACAGCCTGGTCACCTGCTCTGAAGTCAGTGGCAGTGGGGATGGAGAAAAGTGGACCAATCCTATTGACATATAAGAGAATTGGATCTTTTGGACTTGTTGATGTGGGGAATGAAAGATGGTGGAATCTAGGATAACTGGGAACCTTGGTCATTGATGCCATTCATTAAAATAGAGAATCTAGAGAAGGGATAGGTTTTTGTAGGGGAAGTGAGTTTAAATATAGGGTTTCTTAGGGGTATCCAAATGGAGTTGCACAGTTGTATTAAGATAAAGGGTAGACTATTGTAAAGAAAGAGAGGAAGAGAGAGAGACAGTGTGAGAAAGTGGGTGAGTGAACTTGAAATGCAATGGCTCAAACAAGATACATATTTTTTAATTGTAGTAATTTAGGCTAACAGTCTGATTCTACAACCTAGGGCCTAGCTACTCTAGTAGTCTGTGTCAAGAACTGTGGAAGAGATCTGAGATTTTAACTATTTGCAAGTCAGTGTTAGCCTGCCACTATTTCATGAATGCTATTAGAATACATGAGTCTCCTTGGGTGTGAGGTGAAGGATGCTAGTTTATTATTCACAGCAGTAGCCACAGTTTGAGCATTTTTGCAGGGTCCCAAGCCCCAGTTCCTAAAGGGTAGTGTGCAGTGGATTTATTATAGAAGAGAACTGAGTTTAGGGAACCTGGGTAGTAAGCATGCCTGCTTTTTTGCTTTGGAGGAAAACACCATCTCTTATTTTCTAAGTTGCTTAATACACAAACATCCTTGAAAAAATAGTCTAGAACTAAAGACTAGTTATTGCTTCATTTACAAGATAGTGTAGAACTGTGAGAGAACCCTAAATAATTGTTTTCCAGCTGTGTGTAGAGAAGCAGAATTGGCAGCTTTTAGTGGCTTGTTGGAAACTGAGGCACTCAGGCCTAACCCTGACATATTGAATTAGAATCTGCACTTTAATACAATTCACCAAGTGTTATGTATATTCTTTATCGTTTGAGAGCATGACTAGGATTTTGTTGTTGCTTGAATGGTTGAAGTTGGTCTTTTCCCCATGTGCAGATTATAGCTGGAGGTTAAGGGCAAAGAAAATGCATAGAGAAGGCACACCTATTTTCTTAAGATTCAGACTTGGAAATGGTGCACATCATATCAGCTTATATTCCATTAGAGGCATGGTGCATGAAATTTGTGCACAGGTAGGGTCCCTAGGCCTGGCCAGCGATCAGGGCGGATCTGTGGGGCAAATGGAGGAACAATTAATGGGATGATTGGGGCGGGGGGAAGTGCTGGCATCCACCTTGGCTGGCCTGGACCTGAGGGCTGGGGGCAGCCCCTGTGTTGAGTGTCTGCCCCCCTGGTGGCCAGTGCGTGTTATAGCAACCAGTCTCCCGCTGTGGGGCGACTGGCGGGGCCCCCACTGGCATCCTCCTTGGCTGGCCTGCGAGCTGGGGGCAGCTCCTGCATTGAGCATCTGCCCCCCTGGTGGTCAGTGCGTGTTATAGTGACCAGTCATCCCACCAGTGGTTCCACTGTGCAATTGATTTGCATTTTAGTCTTTTATTATATAGGACTAGAGGCCCGTTGCACGAAGAGATTTGTGCAATAGGCCTTCCCTTCCCCTGGCTGCCACACTGGTTTTCCTCTGGCACCTGGGACCCAGGCCTTTGCTCCGGCTGGAGCCTTCAGTCTTTGTGGCCCCGACAGGAGCCTTCAGTCTTCGCAGCCCCGGTCGGAGCCTTCAGTATCCATGACCCCGGCCAGAGCCTTCAGTCTTTGCTTCTTGCCTCCATATGCAAATTAACCACCATCTTTGTTGGGTTAATTTGCATACTCTCCTGTTTGGCTGGTGAGTGTAGCAGAGGGATGGTTAATTTACATGTTTGTCTATTATTAGCTAAGACTAGAGGCCCGGTGCACAAAAATTTGTGCACTCGGTCGGGGACGGAGGGCGTCCCTCAGCCTGGCCTGTGCCCTTTCCCAGTCTGGGACCACTCAGGAGATAACGACCTGCTGGCTTAGGCCTGCTCCTGGGTGGCAGAGCGCAGGCCCAATCCCTAAGTGCAGCCCCTGGTCAGGCTCAGAGCAGGGCCGACTGGGGAATTGGGGCGCCACCCCCGTCATGCACAGAGCAGAGCCAA